GTTGGTTGTGGCTGACATTTGTTCTGCAATCTAATTGCAACATGTATTTGTTTCGATGACTATTGTAATACTTCATAAGATTGCATGCAAAGGAACTTCCAAGCAGGGAGAATGCTTATTTATATTTGATTAATGATGTTCTGATTTAAAGGATATGTGAGATTATATATCTCCTGTAAGATTAATTCATTCAGATATCTGTCAAACAACTATATTTCATACAGTACTAAATCATACAGAGGGTTAAAATGGTAATTTGTTGTCATTCAGAGAACAATTACCAAATAACATTATTTATTCAGCACTTAACCATTCTGGTCCTCTTAACCATTCTGACCACTTAACTATTCTGCACCAAACCATTCAGCATCTGCCAAACAGCCCTTGAGATTGCTTATTTAAAGTGTTTATTAACTTATTTCGGTGTAATACCAGTAATAAGAAGTTTTTAATATTTGGATAGAGAAAAAAAGGAAATGCTTATACAAGTTTGACACCGACAATAAGGAGTTTTTAATAAGTTACTTCCTTATAACTTAATAACTTATACGGTGTGGTATCGATAATAAGAAGCTTTTATTGTTTGGATGAGAAAAGAAAAATGTATTTTTCACTATCTCATCTATTTTATCAGCTTATCCGGTGTGGTACCACCATAAGCTAATCTAAACACTTTTTATAAAACTCTAGTTTTTTTTTTTTTTTTTTTTTTTTTTTTTTAATTTGGAGGCTAAACATGCTAAACATGGTCCCATTTAAATGTCGCCAACACTCCCCTCCCAGGGCTCGAACTCGGGTTCATGACTATGCCATGCCCAAGCCTTTACCACTAGGCTGGAAGGTCTTTGACTATAAAACTCCAGTTTGCCACCACATAAGTTGATAAACAATTTTACAAGAAGACATAAGTTGTTTTAAATAAGCAATCTCAAACACCCCCTAGTTAACCATTTATATTCAATAAAATTAAACAAAAATAATTACTTTCATGTCAGTGATAAATTGCTTTGCTCCAATGTATCTATATTGTATAACATTTGACAAAAACTCTTAAAGACCATTTTTTATGCACGAAGTACTGTTTATTGATGCATAATACTTAAAATTTAAGATTACAAGTAAATTGTGCATAAGTACAACTTATTAAAGCTTCATATTTGAATTCATGTAACTAACTGCAGATAAACATAATCAAATATTGGATAAACATCTAATTTTAAATATAAAAAATCTAAAATATAATTAGGATAATCATTAAGTTCTAACAGAATACTTATTTATTATCTTTATAAAAATTTATATTATTAAACCTAAATTAAATTTATTTGTTAGTAAATCTAAATTAAATTATAATTAAAAAAATTGAATTAAGGAAATTACACCAAAACACAAGAACTTTTAAAAAGATTAATTTGATACTGATATCGATATATTTTTTTTCTCCAAAATTTTATGATATTTTAAAATTTAAATTTATTTAAAAATAAAAACATTATCGCTTTCTCAAACCCACATAAAAACGTATTATATTGACATGAAAAAAGAATAAAACAAAACACTGAAATCAAGATGTGTCTCGATACATTGCACGAGTACCCTTCTAGTAAATAAAAATACATAAACATAATAATATGTACATGCATTTTTCTTTATCAGATCTGATGTCATATTTAAATAAAAAGTAACAAATTTGAATTTAAACAACATATATAAATAAAAGAAATATTTCTTCGTTTATTGTGATATAAGAACTTATGGGCCGTTTACTAAACGCTTATTGAGTAAGTGTTTACCGGATAAATTTCCTCATCGGATGAATGTGACAAGGGCAAGAATCTTACCGAGTAAGAGCAATGTGAAGTCTTACCCGGTAAGTGAAGATGACGACTCTTATCTAAGTAAGCGCTTACCCGGTAAATTATTGCATTCGATGCGTTTTGATGTACTAAAATCTCACGCATCAAAATAAATTATAGTGTTGACTCATATCAGTAAACACTTATTAGGTAAACAACCCCTTAAATTGCAAAAATGAAATCATAATTTAACAAAACCATTGTAACTTAAGATAAATGCATTTCATATTAGAGCTGTTTGATTGGTGTATATACTTAAAGATGCAATTTATTCGGTTTGGATTAACCTGTCTGTGTTAGGACATGTAAACTTACCCGATAAGAGCCGATAGTTTTACCTGGTAAGTAAGGGAAAAAACTTTTACCTGATAAGCATTAACCGCATTTTTTATGCCTACCAACAATCTATTTTGATGACCGAGAATGTTACATGATAAGATATGTAAGAGTGATGTTTCATGCCGGTAAGCGTTTTGGTAAACAATACCTAATTTGACTTGTAACTTAAAAGCTATGATCGATGTTGACTTGACGAGTAAGAACATGATAACACCAATGTTCGATGTGGCTCATTCGAGAGGTCGATAAATTTTTTCGAGTCGATCTGAGTCATTTGAGCGTATCCTCTCTCGAGCCAATTCATATGTTCATAACTCATACAATCAAAATGTAAAAATTAGCGAGCTCGAACCAATAAAAGAGTTAACCAATTTCGAGTTTGAGACATGGACAAGCTTATAAAACTTGAATTTTTGTTATAATGCATAACTCAAACTTGTTAAATGAGCATTGAACTCAAGCTCGAACAATCTAAAAGATATGCAAGCTCAACCTCGAATCCTACTTTGAAAAAGTATTCGGACTCGAGTCTAACTCGAGCTTGGTATTACTGTATCCGAGCAGGACTAAAATAACCTGCTACTCGACTCGTTTACACTTTAACATCGAGTATCCGTTCAATACTTTTTAGGTCTTCTGACATCTACCTAATGAATAGAATATTTTCCTAGTTTGAATGAAAGTAGGAATGATGATTTCTATAAATAAGGGATACAAATTTGTAACAAATCCGTTTAAATTTTCATCGTCACAAAAGTGTTGATTACAATTTTTGTCCTTGTAGTTTCATACCGCTTAGAAAAAGTTTCAAATCCTAAAATTCATGAGTCGTGTCCTTTGGGTTTCATTTTTCGCTACTGATTCAACTCTTAGCCCTAGCCATGTTAAAAATGATTCGGTTGAGCCTTTCAACGTCCTCTTCGCACAAGGGGCATTTGTGTCATTTTACCATTTTTATTTAATAACATTTTAATGTTACAAGTTTCCATGGTAAATGTACAAACATTTAAAGCATTCAGGGGGTGAAATATTAACCACGCTCATTTCTATTATCCGGTCATCTTCTCTGACTACTGCTCACCACACATTAGAACACATATACGCACACCAGATCAACCCAAATTCAAACATTAATCACCCCGAATTACGATCAAAATCGAAATAAAAAAACCAAAACACACCCAATATCAAAACCAACCATGAAGAACATACGGGTTTATTGAAAAACAAAATCGTTGTACAAACATCATTGAAACCAAACTTGTAATCTAACAAAAACCAACAAACAATCAAATCATGTGCATACTGGCGTCAATATAAACAAATTAATCCAAATCCAAATTCGCAATTAAAAACACAATCGAAGAAGCATCTATGAAACCTAGATGAAAAAGCATTAATTTAACCACAAGCTCTTGTTCTTATCTTCAAGCAAATGAAGAACCCAAACCCAAAATTGCATTTGGAAAGGAAATGAGTCAGTTTTTGGATGAAAACCTAATCTTTTACTCTTATCAATTTAAAAGATTTTTCATTTAGGGGCTGTTTACCAAACACTTACGTGGTAAGTGCTTACCGGTAAAATTAACACTATTAATTACTTACCGGGTAAGATTTTAGTCCATTAAAACGACATTGTATGCAACAATTCGCCCGGTAAGCGCTTACCGTGGTAAGAGTTAATCGCCCTCACTTACCGGGTAAGACTCATGGTCCTTGTCTCGCTCTTGGTGAGTAAGATTCTTAGTCCTTACCATATTCATCCGGTGAGATAATGTGACTTGATAAGCGCTTACCCGAGTAAGTGTTTAGTAAACGGCCCCTTAGATTTTTTTGGATTTATGGCATTGGGCTGGGTGATGCTCCAGGAAGAAGAAAGGCAGGATTAACGTTGCATAGGGTTTTCGTCAAAGGGACGTAAGGTTGGGGGTTAATCTTTACTACCTTATAAACCAGATTTATCAAAAGTCTTAAAAACAAATGTTAATGCACAAAGTACTATACATTTATGCACAGAGTCTTAAAAGTCTTAAAAACAACTCATAATGCATCAAGTACTGCTACTTTATGTATTTAGTCTAAAATATCTTAATCTACAATTAAATTAACATATAGTACAAGTTACCAATGCATTTCAAGTTTCCAAGATACTTTTGACACCTTTCACTCATGCCTTCACCCTCTCACACCTCTATGTTTTCTCCCCATCCCCCAATGTGAGATTCAAATTGATATTCACCATGATTTATTAAACTTCTCTCATTCATCTCTCATTCAATTGCTCTAGAACTCTTGGTTTCACTCTCGATCTCTTGATTCTTTGCTCTTGGTGTAAATCGAACACATTTGTGGAGTCATTTAAATATGTTGGATTTTAAATATATTAGATTTTAAACTGTCATACAATTTTTTCAATCGATAGACTGTAATTGGAACCATAACTCTTATTTATTCAAATTGTATTAACATGTAAAGACTAAGTGTAACTTATATCATCGTTAAATCTTCTCTAATAAAACCAGTGAAACTTCAAAATCGTTAAAATTCACGGTTCCCGCCGCATTGCGCGAGTATACAACTAGTATATTACACATTAGAAAATAAAAATGTAAAATACACAAATAACCTTTGACTTCCCTAACATAGTGAGGGTAAGGGACCAAATATGTAACAACAATAAAACCCTAAGGACTATATTCATAAATTCTAGAGTTCATGAACCTTTTTCATACCGGTATAAAACCAGAGGGATTAAATTTATAATTTACTATCACAGAAACAAAGAAACCCAACAACACACCAAAGAGACCCCCACCAAAAAACTTCCGGAATCCCCTTTCTTCTCCTTCTCCTCCCCCCCTCCCCCATTCTTTCTCACACCCACACTATCTCTTCACGGCGCAATCAAAGCGGTTTCGCGGTGTTTCCGTCTCCACTCATCGGCGCACACTGGTGACAGACAAGCTCTCTCTTTCATTTCTCTTGAACAACCGCTTGAAAGTTTCTTTCTTGTATACACAAACAGAAAATTTCGGTGTAATATAATCGCTAAATCCCACCGAGACACCCAAAAAACAGAGGCGGCGAATTAGGGTTTTTTTGGGTTTTCCTGTAATTCAACGGTTAAGGGTGGGGTCGGTCTAATCTTAATTTCTTGCGGCTAATGTTACGAATGCAGAATGCGCTTTTATTGATTATTCACGCTTGTTTCTTACTGTATTGAACGAACAAACCCTAGGTTTATGTTTGTTTTCTGTATTGTGATGTTTTAAGCACTAGGGTTTGATTATTTCTTTGTAATGTGCTTGAAGTATTGTTCATCTAGAGGTGTTCGATATTGTGTTTTTGGATGATATAAGGCTGTTTTTTTTTTTTTGGAGGGTGTTAACTGAACTTATTTATAAGATGAGGGTCTTGTAAGTTTGGTCAATCTTGAAATATGGTGTCCTTCTGAACAGTGACAAGGGTTGTTTGTCTTTGTTCATTTTTGGAACCGAAACTACATTGATACCTATACTATAGGGAGAAAAAGGACACTGCCGAATAGTGTACATGATAGCTTCCAAATTCTTTTGTTGGATGGTGAGGATGTTGTTGAAGGGCTAGGAACTTGGGATTAGATATGTTGAGCGCCATGGTTATGTAATGCGGGTTTCGTAATTGGAGACAAAGTTGGAAGAGTTTGATCCTATATACTTCGATGTACGATTGGTCTTTTTTATTCTTTCCTTATGATGTTCAGTACTAATTATGGAAAGAACTGAGCCAACGTTTGTACCCGAATGGTTAAAGAGCAGTGGAAGCTTAAGCACTATCTCTCACCAATTTACATCATCTTCATTGCACCCTGGTAATTCTTATATTCCTTCATGTTGGCTCACAATGTTGCTGTTATTTTGCTTGTGTTTTCAGTTTTAGTTACTTATTTGATGATGTTTTTCTGTTGTAGATGATCAAGGTGTATCAAAGTCTTTGAGAACTAAGTCATTAGTTAACAGCGGTGACAATGATTTAGGACGCACTTCTGTTTCAGATCGAACAACTTCTTCATACTTTCGGCGCACTTCTAGCAGTAATGGTGCAGCTCATTTAAGGTCTTATAATAGTTTTAGTCGGAACCATCGTGATAGGGATTGGGACAAAGACATATATGAGTTCCGTGATAAAGAAAAGTCTGACAATAGGCACCGGGATTATTCTGATCATCTGGCTAACATTTTGCCAAGTAGGTTTGAGAAAGACGGGTTAAGGCGGTCACATTCAAGTCTTTCTGCAAAGCGAGGTGAGTCATGGCCCAGGAAAGTAGCAGGTGACAAGAATGGCCACAACAATGGGAGTGCCTTACCTTCTGTTGGCACTTCCAGTAGCAGTGGAAAGGCTGCATTTGAGAGGGATTTTCCATCACTTGGGGCAGAAGAAAAACAAGCAGATACTGAGATAGGAAGAGTCCCATCTCCTGGGTTAACTACTGCCATTCAGAGCCTACCAATTGGTAGTTCAGCTGTTATTTGTGGTGATATGTGGACCTCGGCATTGGCTGAAGTGCCTATGATCGTTGGGAGCAATGGAAGCAACATTTCTGTTCAACAGCCTATTCAACCTACTTCAGTTTCTGCAACGACAAGTATGACAACTGGCCGCAACATGGCTGAAACTTTAGCGCAGGGTCCTTCTCGAGCTCGGACTACTCCACAGGTGCCTCAGTGTTCTTTTGCACCTGCATAACACTATACTGTGTCATCCTATTATAATATGTAGTCTTTGTTCATTGTAGTTGTCTGTTGGAACTCAAAGGCTTGAAGAGCTTGCAGTCAAGCAATCCAGGCAATTGATTCCCATGACTCCTTCAATGCCTAAAGCCCTGGTAAGAGTCCCCTCCTTTGCTGGTTTTTTAAAAACTCACCACCTGAGGTTATTGGTGATTTTTGTACTCCATTATTATAGCATTGTAATTTTTTTTTTGCCATGGCAAAAGAGATTTTGATTTTATAATTTTTCCTTTGCTTCCGCTGTTTTTTTTTGGTTATAAGATTTGGATTAGGAGGTGGTTTTTCTGGTAACAGTATGTATCTTGACCTTTGTGGTTATGAGGCTCAGAACATGATTAGCTTTGTGGGTCACCAAGTATAACAATTGCAAATGGAGGCTAATGTTAATTTGGTGTACCTCTTTCTTTTGGTGTGGGGGTGGGGATTGATGCGTTCCATACTTCTCATTCATCTTCATCGCGACAACTTTGGAGCATATCGTTTCAATTCTTGTTGTAAAATAAGTCAAGCCTATGAAGTACATCAATCTAACATGTTTCTTTCTTCCTCCATCGAGGAATGTAAGTTTTTTTTTTTGGGAAAAGAGTCGACTTGTGAGTTTCTGTTTCTCAGACATCATGACTTTGTCCAACCATCACTGTAAGCCTGCTGTATTACCTTTTAGAGCCTGACTGTAAGTGGAAGTGTAGATGCGCGTGTTAAATCTTTTGGTAGGGATGCTGTTCTACATCAAGTCTTGATCTTTATTTTAATGTTACATTTGACTATATCATGGCTTATTCAAATATTAAATCTTGTAGCGGACAGAAGTAGGTATTGACCAGTTTTAGTTTGTTTAGAATATGATGCAAAGACAATGAATGTTGTCTGATTATCCTCTTAGGTAAAAATGCACTATAAGCATACTTCATAAATGAAATTATTAGATGAATGAAGATTAAGCTCTTTCATAATCTGATTACCCTAGTAACAAAGTTAAGTTAGAAGTCGGGGAAATAAAAATATTATTATGGGTGGACAATAAAGAAGAATATGACCTATTTTGGTTTATGAGGGAGACTTGGCTTCAACAAACTGAATGGCGTACAAGTGTGAAGCCAAGCCGTAACAGGATTTGGGTTCAAATCTCCCAAATGTAGTTGTTATCGTGTGTAGTTAGCTGGTTAAATTTTTTGTACTGGGTTTTGCATGTTGTGCATGTTCTTTTTCTTCTCCAAAGAAGAAAACGGTTGGGAGGATGATTAGAGAAATAAAGAATGATACACTGGGTTCATTGGTTTGGTTTACAAAGCTCTACCGAAGAACATAAAATCAGATTTGATTTTAAAAGTAAAGAAAAATTGTGTGTTAAATTGATATTTGATATGATGTCTGCATATATATTTTCAGTTAAATTTTACAATGAGATGGATGATAATAAACTGCTATATGAATTCTAACGTAACATGTTTGAATTACATTATTACATATGAATTGGCACCGAGGCTAAATGGTTAGTGAAGCAAATAAATGTGTACGGTTTCCGGAAATGGTATGATGAAGCTTTTAAACATGATGATGTGAAGAAAAAGTTGACTGAATGTGATTCAATTGAGAGAGCAGCTTATGTTTTAGTCGATTGAGCAAGCAACCTCCATGAATTTACCTTAAATGACTTTTTTTTCTGTTAGTTTATGCAAATTGAGAAGCTTTTCGTTTTGGTTGGTTTGAAGAGGTTCAATTTCTAATGTTTAAATGGATTTTACGCTTGACAGATTATCGGTTGATCCATGTATTGATTCGTCTAAGTGGGTCGATCTATTGGATCAATTATTAGATAAAGGGATCACTTTTTTTGATTTGTTGGTTCATAGAAATGGACTCCACCTTATCTAGATCAAGATCTACCTGTTGGTGCCCTTACATTATAGCATGTCAATTTTCTATGCTATATTTCTGTTGTAAGAGGTTTTGTTTTGGAGATTACAAGTAAAGACGGGAATTCAATGTAGGACCTGTTTCTTTTACTACTATAAAGGAATCCATATGTCTACTTACTTTTAGGTCATTGAATATTATACTATATTGCATCTCTAAATATGATAGGTTATTTGTGGAATCAATTTCGCTTGGGGTACCTGCTCTCCTACTTCGAGAGGGAAATTCTTTTACCAGAGAGGTTTTTTGTTTTCTTTATACAAGTAGCATTGTAATAGACAATAGTGATGTTAGAGCAATGGTGAGAGAGAAGTCAAGGGAAGAGATATGAGAAAGTCATAATACGCTTCGACTTTTTCATAACTGTGTTTATAATAGTTGAGGAATTTAGAATACTTTCTGTTCTAAAATATCATACTTCTTCCTCCAAATTAAAGAAATATGGCTCTCTAAGATTCATTTGTCAATCTTTATGCCAACAATTGTTAACCCATATGAGGATGAAATGAAACTTGTATGATAGATTGAATTCGAGGCTGTGCGAGTTGTATTGTTTGGTTCCATTTCATCGATCGAATCATTCTTTATAAGATAGATTCTATATACCATTATAGACAATCATGTATACTCCAACTATATCTTGTTTTGTTCTAGGATTTATGGATTTTTGTTAGCTTCTAGTTTTACTTTGGCACTTACAGTTGTAACTTAATTGTTTCTATCTTTTTTCCTACTAGATTGTGAATGGTCTAAAGTAGATGTTAGTTCAAGAGAAAATAGTAGATACCAAGCAAGCCACTATTCCCATGCAAGCCCATCCAATAGTTGCAACAAAAAAATCCTCATCAGCATTGCTATATTTAACACCATCTCAATCTTACCCAAAAGTTGAAAAAAAAAACAATGCAATTGGATATATTTAACATGATTATCTTGATAATGACGATGCTTTTCTTCCAACTTTTGGGTAAGATCGAGATGATGTTAAGTATAATTATGTTGATGAGATGGCATGGGAAGGTTCCCTGCATGTTATATATTTGTTTCTTTCTAAACAACTACTACTATCGACCATTTACAATTTAGTAGGAAAAGGGTTAGATGCAGTTAAGTTACTATTGTAAGTGTCAATGTATAACTAGAAGCTAATAGGAGTCCATAGAACATATAAGTTGTAGTGTCCATGATTGTGGGTAATATCATTAGACAGTCGAATTATGTAGAATCTCTCTTATTAAGAATGATCTGGTCAATGAACTGGAACTAGGTAATATAATTCACACACTAACCTTGAATTTCATTTATGAGACAAGTTCCTTTTCATTCTCATATGGGTTAACGTTCACTGGCATAGGATTGACAACCTAACAAGTGATAGAGTTTGATCGGTATTCATGCGCCTAGAACTAGGGCACAATACAATGACATCTTTTTGTGTATGCACCAAGGTGCAAGAAAGAGCCTTCAACTAACTATGCCTATAGGCATGGTTTTCAAAATCGTTTGAGGTGTGCGCCTCAAGGCGCCATAAAACCGCTACTGAGGCGCCTTTCATTTTATGTTTGAGACGTACGCCTTGAGTATACAAGGCGGTGCCTGAGGCTGTGAGGCGGTGAGCACCAATGAGGCGAATGCAGTTGGATGCCTGATTCTTCTTTTTAATATTATTTTGTTTTCACACATCATGTCTTTATATGTCGAGTCTTTGTATTATCTCTAAAAAAGTCTCTTCAAGTCTCCACGTGTCACTGTTACAATCTCACTTCCCATTTCCATGTTCTTGATATATTAATTTTTACTTTCTTGATGTATTAATTTTTTTTTCTTTATGACTCTTGAGCTGTTAGCAATTAGCATACTAATATTTAATATGTTTAATATTTAATAGATCAATATTTTTTATTTTGTTATTATATTTATATGTCGTCATTGAGAGAAGTGTATATAGATTATTTCTTGCATATGTTTCATGTTATAATGTGGCAGTGAAATAAATATTAATATATATTTTTTGCATAAGGTATACGTATATTTGTGTGGTATTTTATATATATATATATATATATATATATATATATATATATATATATATATATATATATCCGCCTCGGGCCGCCTCAGGGCTTATGTCTCGCCTCATCATGGAAAATGTCTCGAGGCCCGATTCTGCCTTTTACAACTATGCCTATAGGTAATTCCTCAGAGTAAGAGAGGCCGCTTATTTTGTGATGCAGAAAGTATCATTTATCTCATTCCCTTTCCTCATATTAACAATTTTCTTTTAATTCTAATAATATATTTTGATCAGAAAATGAACATGAGATAACATTACTCTTTCCTGGTAAAGGTTTTGGTTTATGTTTAGTAGTGTTTAGCTTCAATATTTTGTCATCTTAAAATGATTTATTGATTTCAAGTTTCAAGACAGTTTCTGAGGTTGCTTCTTGCAGATCTTTTCCAAGCAAACGATTGCAGAAAGTGGATTTTCTTATTTTATTTATATTTTCTAATTTGGTTAAGGTACTGCTCTAGGATAGGTGCTTTATATGACTGTCCATGTTATGCTATACTGGACCAAAGTAATTTGGAGTAGGTAGCAATTTTTATTTGGATTCAACGAAAAATGTAGTGAAAAGAGCAACTAGTAGGGAAAATATAGGTTTATATGCATGTTTTTGTGGTCAAAAACTTATTCTTGCACTTTTAATTTTTTTGAAAATTTCTTATAGGCGTTGAACTCTTCTGATAAGCCAAAGCTTAAGGTTGGGCAATCACAGCTTCAGAATTCTCACATTGTCAATCACCCACCCTCCCTTCGACCCGTGTCTGTGAAATCTGATGTCACCAAAGTATCAACTGTGGGAAAACTCCATATCCTTAAGTCATCACGTGAAAGGAATGGTACCACTTCTACTGCGAAGGAGAGCTTGAGCCCGACAGGTGGTAGTAAATTACCAAATAGCCCTCTTGCTGTACCAGTGGTTGTTGGATCTGCTTCATTGAGAAACACAGGTGGTTCAACCATTGTGGCAGACCGCAAACCTTGTGTGGAGAAGAGACCCTCCCCTCAAGCTCAGAGTCGAAATGACTTCTTTAACCTTATGAGGAAGAAATCTATGGCAACCAACTCATCATCTCCTGGTGCCTCTGAGGCTGGTTCTTCTGAATCGACTAATGATAAGCCTGGTGAACCTCAGGTTGGTGGGTATGATCCAGTGGTGGTGGATAGGTCTTGTGGTGTCCAAACTTTGAGTGAGAATAAGGTTGATTTTAGCTGCAACGGTGATGCAACCGAGAGATCTAATAATGAAAAGAACCATTCAAGCTCTGATGCCATTTTGTACTCGGAGGAGGAAGAAGCAAGATTCTTACGGTCACTGGGATGGGAGGAAACCACTGAGGAAGAAGGCCTCACAGAAGAAGAGATTAATTCTTTCTACAGGGATGTAAGTAAGGTATCTTCTATATTAAAATGATAATCACTTTGAGATGGTTCATTTTGTTGTTGTTGGAAATGCTTCTTTTTATATCCTATGTTTAAAAAACCGAACTTAGTCATGCCTGACTTGGCTGGCAAACCATTTGAACTATCACTTGGTAACAAAACCAGTCCAAGGTTCAATATTGAAAAAAATTCAGAGGTTTTCTCATTTCATTCGAACTCTAATACCAAGTGAGAAACAAGGAATCAAAGTTCTTTATTCGACCTTGGTTTGACATGTAGTGCGACTTGTCAGATATATTGGGTGGTGGTCTTGCTTATGGGGTCAAATCAATACGCTCTACTTTGGGAGGATTGAAAGGGTGCGTTTGGTATACAGATGAGACTGAACGAGACTGGACATGCGAGAGTAGGTAGGTGGGTGAAAGAATTGTGGATGGTTTTAGGGTTTTAATTTGACATGGGTAGTTTAGTAATTTACAAGTCTTTGTCCTATGTTGCTAATGTTTATTACACCAATTTTAGTGGGACAAAAAATGTCCCATCCTGTCATGCGAGGGACAAGTTTTTGTTCTGTCATGTCCCACGAACCGAACACAACCATGCATTTGTATGTAGTTTTGTTGTCACAGGTCCATAGTGGTCTTACATGGTTGGCGTAATTACGACCGCCGGCTTTTTCTGGGCAATGACCAAACTTTGGTTCTTTAAAACATTTTTTAGCATTATGGGTCATACTAAATGTATACTTAAATAACAACAAAAGGGGTGAATTTGGTGAACCTAATTCAACATCATCAATAAGTGTTTCTGTTGAGATTGATATAGCAGTTTTTAGCATCCTGGTACTGCATCTGCTAGATGTTATTGTATGTTAAATTGACTACGAATTCTGTATCTGTTTGCTGTACAGTATGTGAATTTAAAAACGGCTTCAAATTTTTTCAAAGGAACGCAGCCGAAATCTTTGATGCCACTCAACTTACAGATGGGGAAAAATGGTGACTCTTGAGCTGCTGGACTTCTCGACCCGCCAATGGATAGGTCTTGTTTTGGTTATTTTCCCGTTCGATGAGAAGGGAAATCTGAAAAGGTTTTAGTAGTGCATCGCGATCTTAGAACTGTGTTTTGAAGGTCTTCACCCTCTGAGAAATGGGTGTTTTCTTGATCTTTAAAGGGTTGAGATAAAAAGAGTAGGCATTAGGTTTTTCTATGGAAAGCTGCTCAGGAAATTGCTTTGGCTGTGCAAAGAAATCTGGGTTTTTGTTTGATTTTTATCTTTATCTTTTTCCTTTTCAGGGTTCAATTCTACAAAGTAGCTTATGGTTTATTAGTCTTTTTTTAAGAAAAAAAGCAAGAAATTTACTTATTAACTCATCTTGCATTCCCATGTTTTCTGATGGTATCTTTTTTCGAGCCGTTCGTTGGTATTTGCCTTTGCCGTTGGTCACAAGAGTGACGGACTTTGCTGTTGGGTCAATGGTCTGTACCAGTATTTGGGTTGATCGTAGATTCTGACCTTCTTGGAGGTCAAGGATGCAAGTCTCGTTAAACGTGAGAAGTGTGTATGAGTTTGCCGGATCAAATGAACAGAATTCGGTGATATTGCACCTGGAGGTGGGGCTGTTGCAGACTTGACATTTACTTCACATAGTTATTCAAATAATGAACGACTGGTTTTGGTGTAAGACAATCCGTAAAATTTTGAAAATGTATTAGAAGGTTAGTTTGTAAAAATGACGTAACATACAAATACATAACATACACACAAAGTGTGTCTATGCAACTTATAAAACATTGATACCGACTTGACTCATGTTGATGAATTGAATGAATTTCCTTAACGCTACATGGGTCTATGTGACCTTAGATGCGGGCTCAGACTCACTTTCGATCTAGCACAGGTTGTGCGACCTTATATGCGAGCTCGAGCTTGCTTTCAATCTAATATCCGTTGTGCGACCATGTGTATGAGTTTAAGCTTACTTTCGACTGACACTCTTTACCATCTTCATGGTAAAGAGTGTCAACTTAGCAAACTCGTGTTCAAACTCACCTACAACGCACAGAGGCCTACTGGATCGACATATACGACCTTTTGTTTGATTTTGGCCATACAAACACCAAGTTCAATCATTTGCTTAAACAACATACCCCAACATGTTCTCCACTCATTAGCATGCTTGGACATGGTTGTAACTAAAGATTACATACATTAATAATGCTTTTGCTCTATGATTTATGACACCACCATCAGTGGTTACTTTCCATCAGTTCCATATACGTAATGGTTCATGTTGGACTTGAATCGTCGCTAAATCAATCCTTAATATCATATGCTACCGATTGGACATAAAATCTCAAACTTTACGTTGAAATAATGCCTTAAACTTAATGACTTTTTACGCACACGTTGTGCTACTTTCCACTTTGTTTTTACTTCAAGAACACTTCAATATCTTTCGAGTAAACCATGATTTTTGTCCTTGTGGTTTGTTTCAAATTGCCGTTTTTATTCTCGTACTTTTGAGATTACGTTCATGCTAGAAGGACGAAAACTGTAATTTCAAAAACATAAGAATAAAAATAGCAATTTTCAATAAATTATAGGGATAAAAAACACACTTTACATGGTATCTTCTTCCTAGTAGAAAGTGATTGAGCCCATAACTTTTAATTAATGACACATCGGTCCTTGTAGTTTCATCTATTGCACAACAATACCCTTTCTTGGACATTTTGTTCGGTTTAAAAATTGGGTTGTTAGTTGTTACATACAAACAAAATGCCATCAACCTTAAGAATCAATAGTAAATTTTCCAAACCAAAAGGGTGGTGTTTGATTGGTTTGAACTTGGCTCCAAATGTCTAAAGTGTCTGCCTGCCTGAAGGTCCCAGGTTTAAATCCAAGAAGAAACAACAATCTCCTTGTGGCCATGGAGATTCAAATTCGGTGACTCCGGCTACCTGCAAAACAGGTGGTCGTCCTGGGATTAGTCGGTTCGCATAGCGGGTTGGATATCCATATTAATAAAAAAATAGTAACTTTTCCAACAAAACTACACCAATGTGTCGTGTAAATACTCAAAAACTTTTATACCTTCTTAGAACTTGTTCATAGTGTTACACTATATCTAATATTCTCAATTGTAGGGACGCACCAATATTTTCGGATGACCTGTTACACCTAAAACTTTTACTTTTACAAATATGTATATATATATATACACACACACATGTACATACTGTAGAGGTGATAATGAGACGTATAACTTTTGATCCAAATATCACTACTTCCGCAATATCTAGGTCTGCAATAAATGATAAAAAAGTCAAATTCAACAAGTTTACCGTTGTGATTGCGGACCTGACCATCGCAGTTGTATATCTGTGTTCAATTTGATTTCTTTTTTGGCCTTTAGCTATATCCGCAATAGATATTGCGGAAGTGATGACATTTGGATCATTCCAAAAAATAAATGATTAGAAGACCAATTTATATGAAGAAAACGGTCATTTGAGTCGAGTATTCTTAGAGGTTGTTTGGTAATTGCTGAATGATTTTTTACAGAATGATTAAGTGGTCAGAATGATTAAGAGACTTTCATGATATAGTGCAAAATAAAATATAACTGTTTACAATGAAATTAGGGCGCTTAATGGTTAAGGGAGGCCCATGATACAAAGTCATTCAGAGGATTTTAAAACCATTAAAAAACAGACTTTTTTTTATCAAACAAGATTCATCTATTAACAATTCAGATATTACATCTTAATAAAACTATTATATCAAGAAGTAACCCTTCATTCAACACCAAATATTTTTGATCATTTTTGGGGGTCAAAAATAGAATTTGACTGAACTCATTCCGAATAAACGCATCCAACGAAAAGAAGGGTTTTGCGAAAGCCGAAGAGGCGAGCTCGGCAAATACAAGGGTTTCTTTGGAGGAAGAAGATCAGAGAGAGACGGACAGATGGGAACTACCCAAGTCGAAAAGACTGAGCAAGAGCTTCGGAAGGAGATCGAAGAACTCCACCGTCAACAATGGGAGGTATGCGTAGAGATTGTACATGGGTTTGTTAAATTTGTGCATGTATGCACGCCATGTGTTTGATGATTTGCTTCTTTCACAGATTACAGAACGGCTTCGGGATCCTAGAGGTATCCGTCGGGGAGGTCTTACTGGCTCTGGTCCTCGTAATTTCTCCGCCAGTGGTCCAGCTCGTCAGCGTGGTTTTGTTAGACCTGTAATTTTCTCACACGCATTCTTTATCAATCTTTTGAGTGCTTGTTAGTTTATGGATGGATTGCTTATTTCGTATAGGCTGAGAGGAACGAATCAGAAGACCAACCCGCCCCCAAGAGGCGACTTTCTTCTACTGTTGTGAAGGTAAGGGAAACGCAATATACGTATTTCTTGTCGTTAAAAGTTTAAAATATTCAATTTCTGATTTTTGTTTTTAAAATGTTTCTGGGGCGTGAAGATTGAGGAAGGGGAGATTGTTGAGGATGCTGTGGATGCTTCAAAGGGTGATGATAGCAACAAAGATTCGGCCATGGAAGTAACTGGATGGGGTGGTAATGGTGAGAACCAGAACAATAGAAAACCTTCAAACTGGGCTAGGAGGGATGGCATTCATAGATTGTCCAAGATGGTACCATTTTAATATATTTATTGTGCAATTTGTTGATTTAGAGTTCACATGGTAATTATTAGTTGTATGCATACTCTGTTGTGATTTGATTAGGATTCTGAAGTTCCTCCATCCGAGAATGTTCCTAGAGTATTACCAAAAGATGAGGACCCCAGCTTGGTTAACAGGAATAGGAGAATGCTGGGACAGCTCCTCGGAACTTTGGAGGTAAGACTGATCTCACCTATAAATGAATTTTGTTTTCGTATTTTCTCTATTCTGTGATATCTGCTTCTTGTATGTCCAAAGATTTTTTCTAGCCAAAAAATGCTGTATCATGCATGCTCTTAACTGTCATTTCCATGAAAATAAGTTTTCCTTTCCTCCCCTGCATTACCTTTTTGTAGCAAATGGCTAGGGTTCAAAACTCAAGACACCCCCACATTCTTTAATGTGTAATGTTTGTTCTTGAATCATTCTTGTTACAGTTCTTTCTATATTGTACAATAATACAAACATGCTTCGCTATAACTTTTTGCATATATAGGTCAAATTATTTTATATGCAAATTTTTTTAGTATATGGTTTATCTCAGAATTTGACGTCAGTTGTGTTCTTGTTCAAGTGTCACATGGAAGCAATTCAACAAGGGTATCAAACATCCGCCATCTGTGGATCAATACTAATGCTTCTGGGAATTTGAAGTTCAATGATGACACATAAACCACCTATCACATTATATGTGGAGAAAAGAACCTAATCTATGAAAATTTGAAATATATTTTAGATCCAAGTACCCCAGCATCGAGAAAAGCTCGTTATGCCTCTAAAGCATCCAATGTGTGTTGCCACCAAATTACTTCCAAACCCACTCCTAGAACCAACAAGAATAACTAATAATTCATTATGCGGTGTTAGTGAGCAAAATCTCAGGCTTTCACATATGGGGATGCAAAGCCGTGAAAAGCCTGTGTGTCTTCCTCAATCATTAATTCAAATCACTGTGTACTAAAGAGAGATGTGATGATTTAACTTTTACTTGTTAGCTTTCGGAGGATAATATTGTTGGAGTAAGATGTGGCACTGTAATCTTGAAGCAATATTAGGCCAACGTGACTTGGATTTTGTAGGTCTAGAGAGATATCAAACAAAAGGTGGCTTGATAGCAAGACAACAAGCTTTTAACCTGGGAGTAAGGGAATCTGTAGGAACAAAAGAAGTTTGTTTAAGTAGTTACCGAGTTACTGCTATTTTGGAACCGCTATTCTCTTCAGGACCGCAATCCAGTATTGCACCGCAATGAACTGCATAGTTCCTCACAGAGAAAGTTAATTTACTTCTATTTATGTAAGCATCCCAATTTTTAGGTGTTGTGTTGTGCCTTTGCTTGCACTCATATGCATGATCACAAAAATTCCTCTCCCCGATACGTATTTGTGTACACATATATGGGGTATAGTAGTACTTGAGAAAGAAATTTATTCACACCAATAAGCCTTACGTAATGGACCATTTCCTGATCTCTCTTTCTTTCCTCAAGGCCTCAACCATCCTTCTTGATCAATAACTCACATTCTATTCCCTTATACATATGTATCATTAAGATTGGATTTTTAAGCCAAACCAAATTACTTGAGTACCAACCAGAAAGTCCAATAGTGATTGAACCCTTCTACGAACAACTGATGGCTAATGCTAGAACCATGGTTTGGCTGATTTCCAACCAGAAGTTATGATTTTACTAGGTTCTGAAGGTTAGTCTTTGTAAAATCGTTTTAGTTTCATGTACAGTCCACCAATAGAAGTAAAAGAAGTCATCTTCTCTCTACCCTTTTAGTAGTCCTCACCTTATTCATTCGTTTATGTTTGAGTTAAATTACAAGTATTTACAACATAGATGGAAGGATATGTGTTTGATTTAGCGTGCTAGTTGTGAATAAAAAATGTGGATGCATACATCCTTCACTAGAGAATTCTAGTCACTTACTAGATAACAAGGTGAGCAAATTATATGAGGTGTAACTTTTCAACATATTCATGATGATTATTTTAATCACCAACACATGACCCCTGGGGGAGTGGGTTTTATTTTATTAATGAAGTTACTTAAATGCCTTCATTAATACATGCACATGGGTATATTAATCTGAAAGGACATGAAACCTATTAAACTACAATCTAAGCATCAAGTATTGTAAATTAGATCCCAAAAAAGTTATATACGAGAAACCTTACAAGAAAATGATAATGTTTTCAACCTGCAATCTTCCATCAGAGAAAGGCGAGAACATAATAATAAAGAAAAAAAAGACTAAAGAAAAAAAAGACTAGGGAGGCCTGAAATACTGGAGCACATTTTGATCTTTCAACACCAGCAAGGGAGAGAGTCGGTTTTGGTAGCAAAATGAGTTATCTCAGTAGATAAAGCTATCTTTAAGTCGTTTGAGGTCGGTTTTATCTTACCTTGATAATTTGTTCCACTGCCAAAGAAATTGGAACGGGTAAAAGTAACAGTTTCCTTCTGTTTTTCATGATATCTTCCCCAGTGTTTATTAACTGCTGAACCATCAATATTTTATTTCATAAAACCTTCATCAGAGTATTCCAATGGATACCTGCTTTCTTTTGGGATTATACATTGTAAATAGGAATCTGTGTAAGAACTTTTCAATTTAACGGCTCCTGAAATCAGCTCTTGTTATCGAGAAATTTGTGAATTAGCAAGTACCATTGTCAAATAGCCTCCGTTTTGGCTTGTTACTGAATGTATGTTGTGGTCAACAATAATTATGGTTCAAGTTGAGGCTGGGCACTTCCCTTGGATTGAAAAATTTCTAAATTGGTTTCCCCTTGATAAAACCATGCTTGGCAGTAACTACAAATGGCTCAAAAGTTTATTTAAGGTCAGGTCACTATAGGAATCAAGGTAAAAGGAGTTTAATATGTATTCCTGGTCTCAAAGTTGGAGTTATAGATAACTGAACTGATGTGTGTTCAATAGTAAATATGTAGATGAAGTGAGTTGAGACTGTAGTTCTGAAGCTATTGCTATGTGATATCTTGATTCCTTAAACCTTGTATAGAGTAGAACTAAATTTATAGTTATGAAGGGATATTCCATATCACGAGCCACAAAGAAGTATAAAATGAGTCGAATTAAAAAAAAGCGGTGAGAGAAGGTAGAGGGAAAGCAAACAAGGACTTGTACCAACAACCAGTAACCCTGTTTCAGGAAAAAAAAGGAAAATTCAGGAGCCAAGGAGACAGGAAAGGATGCTTATGAGTTTGCTAAGATGAATGTCCTAATTTCATTATTTGATTTATAATAATAATTTTTCACATTACAGTTTACAAGTAGTGATAGAGGTGCTAATCTTATGTTTTATTTTTTGCTCTTTAGCCATGCAAGATTCTTGCACGTCATGCAGCATGGCTTTTGCTCTTTTTTTTGTTTTCATGCAGCATCTATGATTAATAAAATCCTGTAGCCCTCAGTTTCAGCTACATTACATCTGTATGAACGAAATAACCATTTAGTCTAATTAGTATCAATTGCAACATAAGTACCTCCAGCAAGAGAATGGAATTATCTTGTTATGATCAATTGTGCCACCATATTAATATACTTTTTCTATCCATGCGTTGAAGATGAATTCATGAAAGTTAATAGATGCATACGTATATGTTTGTGTATATATATCTCTATGTTGGTTGTATTTTTCTGATGGTATATCCTATTGCATGAATCTTTTTTAAGATTTTACATGTTAATTTTCAGAAATTTAGGAAAGAAGACGTGAAACTTTCTGGCTCAGAGGCATTTATGAGGAGATCTGATTCACTGAAAAGAGTAAGTTTCTTTTGCATACTCATCCCTCCTCTATCTATCCTCCCTCGTTTTAGCATCGCGAGTTGTGGACTATATATCCTGTAACAGACAATTAAATGGGCTTCCAAAACAGATCAGGTCCTATCATCTACTTCACATAATCCACAATACTAGAATTTAAACCATTCCTTGCACACCTTGATCTATGTTTTCTGTACATGTAACTTCTCAAGAGAACTGAATTCTTTAAGGCCAAACTGCAACTTCTGTTTCTTTTAATTGCTTGCAGTCAGGATGCTTTAGATGTTTATTTAGTAAGCTATCCTACTTGGCTATGGGAATGTTACAATAGACAAATGACTCGTGTGTAGAAGATTTATAATTTTTTTCATCATTGTTGATCTGTGCATGTTGTTCCGAGATAGTTACCTAATTCTGGCCACTTGACATAGGCCGAGCAAAGAGCACGTGAAGAAAGTGAGAGATTGAGGCAGCAGGAGCGTGAGCAAATTGCTGAAAAGAGGAGAAGAGACTTGGTTTGTTCTTTTGCTTTATATTTTAAAATTTACACTTGAAGTGGTAAACTTGTCCTTATTTTTACTTGAGTAAAAACATTGATTTGCACAAATGGTTATTTTTACAGACTCTTAGAGCACGTGTTGCTGCTAAGGCAGAGGAGAAAAAATTGGAACTGCTGTTTCTTCGTTGGAGTGAACATCAGAAAAAACTTGGCAATTTTTTAAGGTTTGCTTTTTGTCATTCATTAATATAAGAATATTGGTGTCTTCTGTTTCCGAAGCCAATACAGGGGTGCTATATAAGATTCCTGCTTTGACTCACTTTATTGCAGGTTATTTCTAATTTTGGTCCAAAAGTATCCATATTCACAATTTTATTGAGACAAAGATAAGCTTCTTCTCATGTGTTGAAGCTGCTGGATGGCTCGAGGATTCCGACGTGCAGAATTTCTAGGTTAAATATCATTATTGTGTTATCGTAACAGCTCATTTCATATTGTTGCTGGATTGTAATTTTTTCAGGACCAAGGCAGAACCCCCTATATATTACTCGTTTGCCAAACAACTTGAAGAAGATTCAACCGTACTTGAGCAAAGGAAAGAGCAGGTGAGTTTTTAGCAACATTTGATATTTTTATGCTTGTGGAGAAAGTGTCCTAAATGTGATTAAATAATATGCCAGGAAAAGTCAACATGTTATAACAGTGTTCTTAATAATTTAATCAGTATTGTCCTTGGTTCAACTTTTGAGCAAAGTTGACGTTGAACCCAAAACAAAGTAATATATATATATATATATATATATATATCAAGGGTCCAAATAGCGTAAGGCGTGGCGGGGCAAGGCCAAGCCTGAAGCCTTGGAAGCCACGGCGAGGTCATGGAGCGTGACTTATGGCGGCAAATCTCTATATCATATACTATTCTTATGTACATAAACATATTTTTCTACTATTACTCAATGAATCAATGATAATAAACTATTTAAATTAAGTTATATATTAGAAACTATCAAATAAGACATTAAAAAGATAAGTAAAATCAAATATTGTGTTACAAAAGCCGCACAATACACCATGCCTGGCGTGAGACACAAGCCTTGAGCCACGGCGCGCCATGGCTTGCGGCGAGCCTTTTTGAACAGTGATATATAACATATGGAAAATAATCCCATTAGTAATATAACGACATGTAATAGTAAGCGGATCGTTTTTAAGGGGTAAAAGAATTTTTCGTCTTCCCTCCTTTCTCTAGCAGATCAAAAACATACCACAAGTTTTGGTTTAATTTTAGCCTTATTTCTACCCGCATATGTTGCTAACTTCAATATGTCTATTTTTTTAAAATACAAAAAGGTATCTTGTGTTTCCTATTTTGTATCCATTGTATTCTTAGGGCCTGTTTACCAAATTTTCCATTAAGTTCTGTATGGATAAATTTGTTTGTCTAGATAAAATTTTTTTGTTGTTTACTTCTTTACCTGAATCAATCGTCTAAATGACAATAATGACTGATCTACCCCTCAAACATGTTTGAACTTTACAGCAGTTCAATCAAACTCAAACCAAAAATCTATTGTTCATCAAACCAAAAAGCTACCAATCTATCAAACTATTTGAACATTAAAACATAATAATCAAACATTTGAACATCAAATTACCAAAACATAATAATCAAACCATTTAAACATAAAAAAAAGCTACTGCTACAAGAAACCTAACATTTTGTCATTGACGGTGTAATGGGGGATGAACAAAGCAAAGTCGATGGTCTTAGGGCAGCAGCGATGGAGGAGGAGCAGGGACGGAGGAGGTGCAGCAATGGAGGAGTTGCAACGAAGGGGTCACTGGTCGTCAGAGATGAGCAGCAACGATGGGGAAGGAGAAGTTTTTCTCTGTGGCTAGGGTTTGAACTTTGAAGGGAAGTGCTGGAAGGAGGAATCGCGGGGAAAAATTGGTACCTGTGTTGATGAAAATCGAAGGAAGAAGGTCGTCGGCCGGAGAAAAGTTGTTGGAGAAGAGGTGTAGCAATGTGGAGAAGTAGAAATGAAGAGGTGTAGAGGTCGGCCGGCAAGGGTTTGAAGTGAAATGAAAAGGGGGGGGTGGGATTGAAGGGGGTGGTGTGGGATTGAGGGGGTAATTGTCAATATTTTGGCTTAATGGGGACAAGACACCCCTTCCATACTGTGAATAAGCCCATATCTTTATCAGTAAGTCGCAAGCAAACATCCATATATGGCTGTGCGAATAAGCCAAAACAGCCATTAAGCCGATTAAGTCAAAAGTAAACCCCCCCCCCTAGCCATCAATGTGGGGGTATGGTCAAAGCCGCTCCCATGCCCACCCTGAGAAAAAGCATGCCAAAAGCATCCAATGTAGTGGATTTGGCAAGTATAGAAACATTTCTGCTTCCTAGACGGCTACACTTTTCCCTTTGTTGATTTATTAAATCAATCTTATTTCTTTGTGTTTTTTTCCATGGATCTACTGGGGTGGTGGGAGATGATGTAATTTTGCAAGTTATTTCAGCATCTTCAAGTGAATTTTGGTATTTATTTACTAAACCAAACGAACCTAGTATATCCTACTTGGAAGTGGGGCCTACTTGAAAGTGGGGTCTTGGGAGGGTGAAATATATGCATACCTGACCTTTACACCAAAGAATGAACTCTTGTATCTAAGAAAATGGGCAAATCTATATCTATTATCAAACTTTTCCATGATCAGTCTCTCCTTTTGAAAGGAAAAACTGATGAGTTTGATGGTAAATTATGTATTTATTTACTAATATTGTTTATATTTATGGATATCAATTAGGCATTTCAAGAATGGAAGGCTGCTAGGAGAGAGGAATTGTCTAAATACCAACAACAGATTGGTGAACAGTATGTTGCTAACGTTGAAAAGGAGCTTGAAAGGTGGCAAAATGGTCGAAAAGCAAGAAATGGAAACAATGACACATTGAACTTACAAGAGACGATGGACAAAGAACTCGAGACCCATAGACTTGAGCACGGGCCTAAGACACGGAAGATCCCAGGTGGCGATAACAACGAAGATGAGGATGATGTGGAAGATATGAATGTAGGGGAGGATGACATGATGGATGATGTGTTGGATGTCGATGATAGCGGTAACAGGAGAGCTGAAGAAACTGTGAAGCCTGATGCAGCAGGTAATCTTAGCCCACCTCCTGCTAACAAAGATTAAATTGATTATTGAGTCTGGTTTTGTTGGTTTTTAAGTGTGGGAATGTGAATCTATTTCTCTGCAGTTTTGTTGTAAACTGAATAATTTAGTGAAGTTAGGAGATTTATGATATAGACTTAAAAGAAGATGATAAGTAATTATTGCTCAAACAGTCCTACTCCTAAGAGGMATCTTCTGAATCATTAAGAAGTGAATCTTGTTTGGCAAAAAAAAAGTTTGCCTCTTAATGGTTCTAAAACACTCTGAATGATTTTGTGTTCTGGTCCTCCCTTTAACCATTCAGCACTCTAATTTCATTGTAAACAATTACCAAACAATTATATTTCATTTCACTATATCATGAGAGCTTCTTAAACATTTTGCTCACTTAATCATTCTGCATCAAACCATTCAGCACTGCCAAACAGCCCGTAAGAGTCTATAGTTTCAGGTTTACATACATTCTAGCCTAAGAGTCTATAGTTTCAGGTCTACATACTTCCTACCCTTAAATCTTATCTTCAAGTGAGATACATCGGGATCGTTTGGTTTTTGTTTGTTGGAGGTGTGTCAAGGACTAGGCTCGAAGGCCTGGCTTTTTGTAACCAATTTTAAAAGAAGACGGGTCGTTTTTGTAGCCAGTCCCGATCGGGCATATCATTTCTGCTCATGTGATGATATGAATTTTGAAGTGTGGTGGTTAAGGGTGTCAATAAAAACTAAAACTGAAACTGAATAAACACAAAATTTGGTTTTTGGCTTAACCAAATAAGGATAGCTTATTTGTTTTGTTTTGGTTGGTCTTTATTGGGTAAATTGAATAAGTCAATATAGTATTATATATTGTTGAGTATCTATTAACATGTATATTAGACAATTACACCATCGCGTACTCTCTTTATATACATATATTTTTAATCTATTCCCCATTTCTATATAACTAGTTAATTTGTGGTAACTGTGAGAAACAATGTGAACCACTTGTTTGAGATATTTAAGAATATTTCTTAAATAAGCTAAAAGGGTAATACATTAATTCTATTTTTGACACTTAATCAAGATATTTAATTAAATTTTTTAAAAGGAAATATTTAATTAAAATTAGTTACCTAGTATATATCTATTACCTAATATACATCATATTTTAAAGACGTTTGTGAATTAAAGTGTGTCATCGTGATAACCTTTACAATATTTCATATGTATCACAATGTATTTTCTTTGTTTTATGAAATGTATCAGTGTGCATTGTTGTTATTTTCATTGTTTTACAAAAGATATCATATTATGCATCTTGTATGTATATTTGAGTATCACAGTGAATATTGTTTGTAGATATCATAGTGTGTATCTTGTGTTCACATAAGGTTCATCGAAATAAGGTTCGTCGAATAAGATTCGTTGAGAGAGATGAGGATGTTTATAAAATCCCTAAAATGGTCTTAATTAATATTTTAAGTTAAAATTATCAAAATTATTAATTTTCTAATTTAACTTTTGATTTGTGGTTGAGATTGGATCTTACGGTTATCACAAACAAAACAGTTCTCATTTGATTAGGCCTATATATATGTGTATATATATATATATATATATATATGTGGGTTATTATACAACCTCTTACATTTGTACAACCAATACAACTCAATCTCAACTGTCCATTTAATTTAATGAATATGTAATTTCATAGAAGTTTTGTTTATTTACTAATACAAAGTATTGATCATAATTAATAAACTTTATTCATCTTTCATAAATATTTAAATAATAATAAATGAACCTTTATCATTTTCATAAATATTTCAATTTATTAGGTTGCATTAGTTGTACAAATATGACGGGTTGCATTTGAAACAAACTCTCTCTCTCTCTCTCTCTATATATATATATAGAGAGAGAGAGAGAGAGAGAGAGAGAGATAATATTAATTGAATGTGAGATACTTAAACTTTAAGAATTATGGATAAATTGTATGAAATAGTTGATAGGTTTATTCATACAATTATGCCAGTAAATAGGCTCATATAATTCGGACGTAAATTGGTTTATTCATACAATTAAACAGTCTCAAAATCAAGTAATTTAATTTCTTGTGTTTTAATGAATGGTAAATACAATATTTGATATTAGTAACAAAATATTTTTACGATAATTTACGTAAATTAAATGAATTTTATATAAAAAAGTTAATAAAAATCAAATTTATTAAAATATTAAAGATGAAAGACCATTTCATAATTCGTAAAAAAAATAATCAAATTAAAAACTATAAGGGTGGTGTTTGATTGGTTTGAGTTTGACTCCGAAGGTCAAAAGTATCAAGAGAAATAAAAATCTTTTTGTGGTTATGGAGGTTCAAATACGATGACTTCGGGTTATCTGTAAAACAGATAATCGTTCTAAAATCAGTCGGCTCGCGTAACGAATCGGATATTTATGTTAATAAAAAAACGAATTAAAGGGATTTTAGAATTAAAATTTATTTATATTATCACATTAAAGTCAAAATAGCCTCACTCTCACTCCACTTATCCTCTTTATCTTATCAAAAAGTCAAAAAGAAAGGTGTGGGTCCTCCCTTTCATTCCACAGCTTTTTTACTCATTTCTTCACACCCTTCGCCGGACCACCATGACTTCCGGCGGCAACACCTCTCGCTACTATCCATCCTCCTCCTCCGCCGCCTCAATCAAAGGCTGCTGCTGCTGTCTCCTCCTCCTCTTCTCCTTCCTCGCCCTCCTCTCCCTCACCATCATCCTCGTCATCGTCCTCGCAATCAAACCCAAAAAACCCCAATTCGATCTCCAACAAGTCACCGTTCAGTACATTAACCTCGCCGCCACCAATTCTTTCACCGCCGCCGTCGATTCCCCCAGCTCCGCCTCCCTATCCCTCGTCATCCGCATGCTTTTCACCGCCAAAAACGACAACATAGCTGGGATCAAGTACCGCGACTCCACGTTTAATATCATGTACCGCGGAATCCCGTTGGGTCGGGGCACCGTACCGGGGTTTTACCAGGCGGCGCACAGTGCGAAGAACGTAGAGACGACGGTGTCGGTGGATCGGGTGAATCTGTTGCAGGCGGATGCTGCTGATTTGGTGAGAGATGCTTCGCTTAATGATCGGGTCGAGCTTCGGATCATGGGTGATGTGAATGCTAAGATCCGGGTCATTGGGATAACTTCACCCAGTGTGCAGGTTAGCATTGAGCACTTTATCTTTCTCCTAGAACTGGAAATTTTTAGGGCATTGTGCTGGTTGCTTCTGCTCTGCTTCACCATTGCTAGTCAAACCCCCACATGCCCTTTTGCTAATATACGCGGATTTTAGGGGTTGCATGTGTTGCTATCGTGCTCACGTCTTAATCATTTTTCTTGGTTTAAATCAAAGTGGGTTAAATTAATCTATACTATGTTTTCTAAAACATTCGACAAAAATTATTAAAATTCATTTTTATGTAATAAAATATTGTTTATTGATGCATATTACTTAAAATTCAAGATTATAAGTAAATTATGCGTAAATACAATTTATTAATGTTTTATGTTTAAATTCGTGTAACTAATTGCAGATAAACATAATTAAATACATGATAAACGTCTCCTCTTAAATATAAAAAATCTAAAATATAATTAGGATAGTCATTGACTTCTAACAAAATATGTAATTATTATCTTTATAAAAAATTATATTATTAAACATAAAATAAAAATAAAGAAATTAAAGGAAATTTTAAATAGTTACTTTGTTACTAATATCCTATGCTGTTAATATCGCGATATATCGTCGATATATCGGCGATATATCGGATATCGCTCCTAGGAAAAAAATCGGACCATAAATATCGGTCAAAATATCGGGGCCGATATTATCGGCGATATTTAGCGATTTTTTAGCGATTTTTAGCGATATTTGAGGTAAAAATCGGACCGATATACCGATATATTCACTGG